AGAGAGATGAAGGGGATCAGCCGGATTCCCTTTGACCCGTTTTGACCCGCTACCCAAACCGGTCCTTGGGTGATCCAAGGCTCGCCATCACCTGCACACGACACCATGGCCCTTTATTCTTAAAGTTCCACCCCAATACCGACAGTGTTTGGTCTTGATTTCGTGGAGATGGCGTCGATGGCACTATGGTGTTCTTGGCGACAATTCGCCAATTTTGAAGCAAATTCCCTCTATAACCACCACCATTAAACTCTACTTGAGCCCAGGAATAAACCCCAAACAACTTTGGAGGCGGCAGAACACAGAGGAAGGAGAATCGAAGCTTACCCATTCTAGGGTTCAGGTGGGTTCGAGTGAAATTAGAGCCGTTTCCAGCCAAATTGGCCTTGTTCATAGGTATGAAAATTGTTCCCCTCACTGTGATCTACTTTTCTGTAAAATTTGGTAATTTTTTGAAATAGTTGAATTTTTCGGCAAGTCGGGACGGCTAACTGCCACCCGTGGCGGCGCATGGCCAGCGGACCGACAATGTCTTTCTAGGTGCTATTAGATGCCCTGAGTCCATGTTTGAAATTCATATGACGTGAATTGATTATTTGAATCTAGTTTTATTATGATACATTACTTGATCAAAAATATGAATTGATGATCCGACCGTTGGATCGTCGCCAAATTTTAATGTGTCATAGAACGTAATATTTAAGAATAGCTAGAACTTATGGATCAGGAATCTGATGTATGGATCTTCCCAAATTAGATTTCTAGGTTAGTAAAATTAATTGTTAACCGCCACCTGATTCTGGCAATTGGCGGCGATCCGACCGTTGGATCGCCATGAGATTTTAGTAAGTTGTTTTAGAAGCATAATGTGAACTTTGGGAAGTTACAGATTAGAAATCTGATAGGTGGATCTTCTGATTTAGATTTCTAGGGTTGTGGACCCTATTCTAGATCTTGATCGACGGTTGGCTTTTTAGCCAACTAGCCCGAGTTTTTCTAGCATGTCGATTATCTTAGAGCTCAGTTGAGATTTCATGGAGCATGATGGGCTTATCGTGATGATGTGTCTCCTCGATTGACATGTGACTCGATTCGTGTACTAGTGGCATCGTATTATATTATACTTGTTTAAGTATGTTTGACTTGTGCATTGGAAATGTTTGTGAAATGTGGTTTGTGTTGTATGATTGGCATGATGTGATGAAATGTGAGGGCTATTAGTTGACCGTTAACCCATTGTCATGGGGTTTGTTGCTTCGAGACTTGTTTCACATATCGTATCATTGTTCTATTTCTTGTTTCGTTGAGTTTTTGTATCTTGAGCACTTGATTCACGTTTGTTTCGAGCCGTTGATATGTTCTTTGGCCATCCGCTCGGTTCTGTTGAGTGATCCGAAACTAAGTATCCGCTGGTGTTTCGTTAAGTGGTTTGGTTCCCTACTCCGTCTGGATTCCGTTGAGAGGTCTGGAATCCCTCGTGATCCGCGATTTCGCTGAGTGGTACGGAATCGTATCCAGCTTGGTTTTCATTCAGTGGTTCGATATGCATTGTACTCTGCGATTCCGTTAAGTAGTCCGAAATCGTATCCACTCGAATTCCGTTTAGAGGTTCTGAATCCCTTATACACTGCGGTTCCATTAAGTGGTCCAAAATCATATCCTAGTTTAAATTCCGTTGTGTGGTCCAGAATCCCCTTTGGTGACTTGGTTTCATTGAGTGGTCCGGAACTCGATGTTGATGGATTTCGTTGAGTGGTTTGAAATCGCATCATTTGACTCATTGGTTCCTTGGTTTGATTCATTTGAGATAGTTTTAGGGATGTAGGCTTCGGCCGAACTGTGTCGTTTCATAGATGTAGGTTTCGGCTAAACTGTATCGCTCTAGCCCTGTATTTCAGTGTATTGTATGAGTTATTGATTGATGTGATAATTGGATGGTGTTGGAATGCATATGTGTGGATGAATGATGAGATTACTAGAGATTATTATTGTGTTTTGTTAAATGTTCCTTAAGGTGCTACATGATTGAATTGTGGTATTATGTTGAGACATAGTGGTCTATGTGATGATTGTTCGAATATAGTGAAACGGTGAACTACGAATGGCTTGATCCTTATTGAGGGTACGTAGGCAGTCTAACGAGGAGGTTAGATGCAGCCATAAATTATACGAAAAATCATTACGCCAATTAAGGCTTGAGTTATGCTTGGTACATATTCCGGAGGCGAAGTATGTTAGATATACTAGTTTTTTATGACATCATACAAGTTTTTTATGACGTCATGTGTTGGTCATAGACGTACTCGGGATCGGGGCATGACATGTGTTATTGTGGCAAATTAGAAATAAAGGTTGGGGTGGGAGGACCAATTAGGAGATGAGAGAGAAACGGATTTCCTTCTCCTTTTTCTATCGACCCATGCACCACGACCAGCTTCGACCCGGTTCAAACTCAGCGAATTCTTCCATTTTTCCGTCGAACCACCACCATCCAACACCTGAAATCTTTTCCACAACCTCCCATCTACCATCTCCACCCAAATTCGAAGGTTTTTAGGTCCAAAACCGCGTAGAATCTCACTGGAACACTGGAGGTGCTCGACAGTGATTCCTCCGATCCGACGAGTTTCACCACCCATCACCACCCAACACCACCCTTAATCAACTCCCCATGGACCTAGGAACAAGACCCAACCTGTTGTAGGGGTGTTAGAACACCGAGGACGTTGAATCGAAGAACACCCACCTTAGGGTTTAGGGCGGGTTTGAGCTAAATTGGGGCTTTTCCAGGCCAAATTGGACTTTTCCACAGGTATAAAACTTGCTCTACTCATTAAGATATTCATTTCTATGAAATTTGAGAATTTTTAGAAATAGTTGATTTTAGCGAGTCGGAGTGGCCGACCGCCTTATGCGGCGACGACGTGTGGGTCGAGACCCCACCTGCCCATCCTAGGCTAATTTGGATGCCCTAATTCCATATGTGAAGTTCGATTAACGAAATTCCATTGTTTGGGTACAATTTCACTAAGGTCCGCCACTTGGTCATTATTTGAATCGACGATTCGACTGTTGGATCGTCACCAAACTTTAGTAGGTATAATGAGTGTTTTCAAATTTCGGGGACAAAATTTTTTTAAGGTGGGTAGATTGTGATAACCCATCCCTAATTTAACATTTTTTAAATAATTTTAAAAGCGTGAATTGACGAAAATGCCATAGAGGCAAGGAACTTTGATTTTAGTTAACCATCGTCTAGAGAAACGTATGACTTATTCTTTTAGCGTATTTATGTAGTACCCATTGGTACGAACGCATATGCAAAAGCCATTTGCAAGTCCGGATTATAACAGTATAGTTACAGGCGTTTGAAATTGTTTATTTAAATTTTAGATTAGAAATTAATTAAACTCCCACTTTTTGGGAATGAGGCCCAATCGTTTTTGTGTTATTGTGGCCAATTAGAAATAAAGGTTGGAGTAGGAGGACCAATTAGGAGAGGAGAGAGAATGATTTCCTTTTCCCTTTTCTATCGACCCGTGCACCACGACCGGCTTCAAGCCGGTTCAAACTCGGGGAATTCTGCCATTTTTCCACCGACCCACCACCATCCAACACCTAAAATCTTTTCCACAACCTCCCATCTACCATCTCCACCCAAATTCGAAGGTTTTTAGGTCTAAAACTGTGTAGAACCTCACCGGAGCATCGGAGGTGCTCGACGGTGATTCCTCTTATCCGGTGAGTTTCACCACCCATCACCACCCTTAATCAACTCCCCATGGACCTAGGAATAAGACCCAACCAATTGTAGGGGCGTTGGAACACCAAGGAAGTCAAATCGAAGCACACCCACTTTAGGGTTTACGACGGGTTTGAGCTAAATTGGGGTTTTCCCCAGCCAAATTAGACTTTGCCACATGTAAAAAACTTGCTCTATTCATTGAGATCTTCATTTATATAGAAATAGTTGATTTTTCCGAAGATTTCATCAATTCACGCTTTTAAAATTAATAAAAAAATGTTAAATTAGGGATGGGTTGTCACAATGTTGATATTGATGATTAGGCTATTACAAATGTTTAATTAACCTGCTTATTTTTATATTAATAATACCTTATTTAATTTGTTAATTTAATTTAAAAATTTAGTCTCATGACATTTTCCTTAAATAATAGAAAATGATAACATTTTCCTTAAAGTTATAGAAAATGATATTTGAGGAGGCAACATGTCTCTTGTCGTCTTGTGGATAGCCAATTATTTAATCAAAGATTAGAGAATCCAACGTTCGATAGCAAGCTAGATTATTTATATTTAATTTGTAACAATAATTTTTTATTTGTTTGTGTTGAATGGACCCTTTAAATTAACAAGGGAGACCAAGACTTTTAGTTTTGCGTTCATACATTTTTTTTCTAAAGAAAAACAATTTGTGGTAAGTTATTGTTATTCACTCATTTCGAGGACCGGAAAACTCACATCTCTAGCTATAAGTTTGGCTTTCACATTAGTAGCGGGTTTCGACCCGAAATTTCTAATTTTTAGTTTCAAAGAAACCTTGCAATCTGTTATTTACTACTGAACAACCAACACGTGATTTTTTGAGTTGATATTTGAAATGAAAAATAATAGTTTCTGCACAACATCTTTTCACATTTTTTAAGAAAAAAACAAATATGTCATACGTGTAAAGATGTAAAAGTTTATGTAAAAAGAAGTGCATAAATCAGATTGTTAAAGAAACTGTACTTAGATGCTGAAAATTTCGCGGCAACATCTATTTTTATCTAATCAGATTTGTATAGCCTCTAAATAATTAAAATTGCAAACACAAAAGAGACATGTGTTCAAATTTGATTGAGTGAAAGTAGGAGTGGTGCTGAAAATTCTGCAGCCAATTATTGTTAGGCTAGGAATTGAGATGGAACTTACTTCAATCAGACGCGGTTCCCTCCAAACTCCTCTTTTTCTCTCTTGTATTTATTTCCTTCCCTTGGCTCTTCTTCAACTGCAGGGGGTTAGACATAAGATAATTTGAAGAAAGAAAAAAAGAGAGCAAAAGGATGTTGGAAACTCTCTCTTATACTTTTGTAAATTCTTCCATTTTCTCCGTAATGCATTCGTTTTCTAATGTTTTCTCGTCTTGAAAAGAAGCTTTTCGAGCTGTGAAAATGAAGAGAATAACTAGGTCACGGTTTGATCCGAATACTCGTGAAGAGGACAATAATCTGCAGGAAGATCAACTACTTGAGAATGGTGCAACTTCAAGCTCCGTTGAGCCTCCAAATTCAGCAGCAAAGCCTCCATCTGAGCAATCTCTGACGCCGAAAATTGCAAGTATTCTTGACAACAATGTGTACGAGGTGCCTATAAAGGTAGCATACTGTCGCTCAACAGTATTACGCATAACCATATATGTGATTGTATATATTATAGATCAAACGTTCCAAATATGTATAGATAACAATACTTTTGGTTGTGTATACCTTTGTAAATTAATCATGTTATTAATGGATTAATTATACTAATTTCTTCTGCTAGCTAGGCTATTCCAGAATCAGCGGAGTGGATATTTTTAGTGGTTGCCCTCGGCCTAGAGATGTTATCAGCTGCTTTCGACCAGGCTTCGTCCCCAAGTAAACCCCACTACGCGCTACTGAGCATGCTGTGTGCTGTTGCAGCTCTTCTTACTACCATCTGGGAGCTCACTTACAAGGCTATAAGAGAAAGAGTGGTATTAAGGAGGTCGGGATTGCTAATGCTGCCCTACTTTTATTATCCGCCTCCTCGGAACACAGTTTTCGGTGATCTCTATGACATTTATGGATTAGTTGGCGGGATCTCTCAGTCCGCTTGCTCTGCAGTTCAGTACGTTTACTTTCTCTGGCACGCTGATAATCCAATCAAATCATCCCTCTTGCCAGCCATCTTCCTTATGTGTTTGGGTGGTTCGAGACTAATAGGAACCGGAGGTTCAGTAGTAATGTTGATAGCAACAATATTTTGTTGACGAGGGAGCTGACCGCCAACCGACCTTTGCTCGATGATTCTTCTACTTCTGCTTGGAGTCTCAGTGTCCAAACCGAACGAGAACCATCAAGCAGCTTACAATTATTTTTCGGTAAAAACCCCTCACCCACAGTTTTCACTGCGAGCAAGATTGCGGATGAAGAGAAAAATCCACTTCAAATCCTAGTTGTGGATGACCAAATGGTTCCAATAACAAATCTACCTTATCCAGTCAAAGTGGAAATTGTTGTTCTTGATGGTGACTTTCCAACTGGAGATGATGACAACTGGACAGAAGAAGAATTTGAGAACAACATCTTGAGACAGCTTACTGGGCGAAGGCGACACTTGCTTGCCGGAGAAGTAAGGCTCACGGTGAGAGATGGGTCAGCTACAATTGGAGATGTTGAGTTCACAGAGAGTTCGAGCTGGATTAGGAGCAAAAAATTTAGGCTGGGAGCACGAGTGATACCAAGCCCAGGCTATCAGGGTTTAAGGATCCGTGCAGCGGTCACGGAAGCTTTCGTTGTTAAAGATCATCGTGGCAAGCATCATCTTCCTCGCTACTTATCCCATACGAGAAACAATTCTGTATAAGATGCAAGGCAACATTTTGCAACTTTGTGCTACAATTCATTCAATTTTCAATAGAAAGCAAGGAACATTTTCAATTAGCTCTTCTTTTTTCTTTTTCTTCTAAATCAAGAAAACAATCTGCAATTTTACCGTGTCTACGGGTTTGCTGAAGAATGTTAAAATCCCATGTCGAAACTTCACAAAATAAATTACCGCATGTATAATGATTAATTTCACTACTATTACCATCGAAAAAACAATATCAGTGTTGATTAGTCCTGATAAACCCCTTTTTTGGGGTATGCAGGTGTTCTAATCTTTGAACAAAACTTGTCAAACGCGGGGTCCTCTTTCTCAAGCATTGTAGTGAAAATTCCGAGAAGCCTACCTCAATTACGTAATTGAGTTAGTACCACATAAACACCTTTGGACGTGATAATTAATGTGCATGTTATGAATATATTATTACGAATGATTATGCCTAATCACCTATTCCTAACACTACCCATCTACTTCATCATCTTCAACTTGTTGATTATCGTCCCCTCTCCTATACCGGATGACAATTTCCTATACGCAAAGTGCCGCAGCTACTACGACTAATGTAGGCACCCCTTTAATAAAGGGGGGCTGACATTGCCCTTTCAGTTGTTTAAGTATATCACCTTCCTCTTGCATTCACTGGAAATTTCCTAGGCAGAAGCGTACAGAAGTCCAGCCAATGTACTATATAAGCCGTCGTCGCATCCATCTCTCATGAAAACGCCACCCACTTCTCCCTTCCGATGGTCTAACAGATTATATCACAATAATATTCCACCCCTTTGAATTTCAACTGTTGTATAATGTCATCACACTAGCTTTCCAATCCCTCCTTTCAGACATTTCCAATTTCGAAACATAAAAATTTCAGTCTTCTGAAATATCAAACTATATTAATCTCCACGTCCCATTGAGCTTCAACAAGTTACTATGCCTACCCACTTTCTCCTAAAACTACCCGTCTCCTTCCTCATCATCTTCCACAATTTGGTCACGGTAATATTACTTTCCACCCCCGCTCTCGGCGAGGATGATCACCGATACACCGAGTGCCGCCGCTACTACGACTGCAGCCTCCTCAAAAGCATCTCCTACCCCTTCTAGGCCACCAGCAGCCGCCCTCAACACTGCGGCCGCGAAGACTACGAGCTCACCTGCCGAGAAGATCAATACCCTGTCATGAAAATTAAAGACCAGGATTTTCTTGTGTTGAACTTTAGTCGGCAGTTTTACACCATGACAATAGCTCGCTCAGACCTCTGGGACACCCCCTTCACTGACAACATTGTCAACACCACTTTGGACTACGACCGGTTTTCCTACGTCCCAGCTGTTCGGTACCTGACGCTGCTCTACGGCTGCCAGCCGGGGAACATGTCCGTACTCAATAACTTCACTTGCAAGGTAGATGGTACGGACGGCAATGGTTGTTCAATATCACTTTGTGATTCAATTCAGAACCACCAATTCATGATCTTAACTAAAATCTAGCACCCCACACCCACATTATCAAATCTGATTTATTACACGATACAAATGGAAAACAGATGAAAATTAAGATAAGAGGTATCTAAAAAACTAATGCTCATAGAACAGAAAGAAAAACCTTGATCTTGTAGCGGGTTTTGGGTACATCTGTACACTCAGGGGGGATAACAAAAACACACAAAAGCACTTTCCCCAAACCAACAAAAATAGCCCTCAACCAGAAATCAAAGCTGGAACCAAGAGAATAACATTTCAAAATAAAATAAATAAAAACTTGTACCAAGAAAAAATAAAGAGGAAAGAGGAGAGAAAATAAAAATATGAGGTTTATGATTTATTCCTTAACCATGCAAAAGCCATAGCTGACCTGAGCAGCGCATCAAGGTTACTTAAATCCTGCAGTCGATGGCTTTTTTAAATTTATTGATTATTGATACAAATGCCCATAAAATCAATGAAATAAAATTCCTGAATTCGAATCGTAGATTAAACAACATTTTGGAAACTAAGACATCAAATTTATATTTTTCTAAAAGAAAAGATGAAGCTGGGGGAACCAAATTTTACATAGTGAGACGAACTTACTGAAGAGCAAGTTACCATTGTAAAACATTAGTGTTAGTCAAGTTAGTTAGTTGTTAGAATAGTTACAAATAGTTACCACTGTAACTATTCTCTTTACCTGTGTAAATCTAGTTTATATAAATACCTTAGTGTAACTAATTATAAATGTAATGAAATCATTTCTCAATATGGTATCTCGCTTAAGTCCACCGACTTCGATCCTCTTTCTGCTACTTTCTTGCTTATTTTCTTACCTACCAAACACCATAGCTTCCGTCTGCAGATCTTCGATCTTGTTCATCAATGGCGGCAAATTCTTCGAATTCTTCCTCTCCTGTGGTTGCGCATCCTTCTTCTCCGGCGATCGCGGATCCTTCCTCTTCGCTGCCTCCACATCTCAATCCTTCTCCGATGAACCCTAACTCCTCATTTCAAGCTTCAATCAACTCCATCACGATCCAAAACATTGGGAGTCTGATTCAAACAAAACTCAAGCGTCATAATTACCTTGTTTGGCATTCTCTGTTCGAACCGATCTTCCACCGCTACAAGCTCACCGGCATGGTTGATGGATCTGAACCGCCACCGCCTCAATTTCTTGTTGATCTTTCTGGAAATTTGTCCTCGCTTCTGAATCTAGCCTTCAAGATCTGGTACGAAAAGGATCAAAACATCCTCATTTGGATCAATTCCACTCTCTCTGAGGATTTGATTCCCTTTACTGTTGGTGTTCAATCCTCCCATGAACTTTGGCAAAATCTTGAGAAGCGATTCGGTGGAGTCTCTCGTTCTCACATTCATCAGTTACGATTGAATTTGCAATTGATGTCGAAAGGCACTTCCACAATATCTGAATATTTGCAACGCATCAAAGAAGTTTCTGATGCTCTCACTGCTGTCGGTGCCCCAGTTGAGGAGTCAGATCTCCTTCACCTCATTCTTAATGGCTTGCCTGATGACTATGATTCCTTCGTGGATTCAATCAATTTCGTCTTGCTGATACTACTGTTGATGATCTACATGGATTTCCTTCTCAGCAAAGAAATGGCTCTTGCTCGTCGCAAGCAATCTCAAGGGGGCGATTTTACAAAATTGGCACTTTAAGATCAGACTCAGGGGGTGAGTTTACAAGTTCTCACTTCAAGCATCATTTGTCTTTCCATGGCATTCAGCAACAATTCAGTTGTCCTTACACTCCTCAGCAAAACGGTTGTGCTGAAAGGAAGCACAGACATATTGTTGAGACTGCTCGAACCCTCCTTATTGCCTCACAAGTTCCTCACAAATTCTGGGTTGAAGGTTTTCTTACTGCCGTCTATCTTATCAATCGCCTACCTCCAGTCAACAAGTCTTCCCCTTGGGAACAATTTTTCAAGAAAGTTCTAGATTACAAGTCTCTTCGGGTATTTGGATGTCAATGCTTTCCTTGGTTAAAACAATACACCAATTCCAAATTAGATCCCAAGAGCAAGCTGTGTGTTTTCATTGGTTACAGCTTAGCTCACAAGGGGTATAGATGTCTCGATCCCTTCACTAATCGGGTTTCTCTCTCTTGACATGTTCATTTTGATGAACATACATTTCCCTTTCATGATCCCCACCTTCTAAAGTCCTCCACTCCCCATACCCCAGAAACTTACTCACCTTTTTCCCTTACCTTTCCCAATCTTTATTCTCCTAATTCTTTCATTTCCCGTGTTCCACCACCCATATCTTCCTCTCCTACTCAACCTGCGCTAGTTACTCAACCTGAGCAAGTTACTCAACCTGAGCCAGTTAATTCTCCTGCTCCTTGTCCTGCACCTCTGCAACCTCCCTCACCTCCCTCTTCTCCTCTACCCGCCTCTCATCTTTACACCCTGCACCACATCATGTACCTCCTATTTCCTCTGTTCACCCAATGCAAACCCGCTCTAAGTCAGGAATATACAAACCTAAGGCCCTTACTGCCACAACACATCCTCTGCCTTCTCATTGTGACAGTGAGTTTATACCTACTACATATCTCTAGGCTTCCAAACATTCACAGTGGAGGGCTGCTATGCAGGATGAATTCAATGCTTTACAAAGTACATGCACTTGGCAGCTTATTCCTTCTACCTCCACTCATAATTTGGTTGGCTGTAAATGGGTTTTCCGGATTAAGAGGAAACCAGATGGCTCTGTGGATCGTTACAAGGCTAGACTCGTTGCAAAAGGTTACAATCAGCAAGAGGACATTGATTATGGTGATACTTTTAGCCCGGTTGCTAAACCTGTGACTATACGCATCATTCTCAGTCCAATCAAACTGGTTTTTACACCAGCTGGATGTAAGTAATGCTTTTCTACATGGTTCTTTGAAAGAGAATGTATATATGGCTCAACCACCTGGGTTCATTGATCAGGATCCTACTCATATCTGTCACTTAAAGAAATCCTTGTATGGCTTAAAGCAAGCCCCTCGTGCTTGGTATGAAAAACTTCAATCTGCTCTTTTCTCCATGGGATTTCAAGCTTCACACTCTGATCATAGTCTGTTTGTGCTGCATAAACCTACCTTGGTTTTGGTTCTTGTGTATGTCGATGATATCATAGTGACCGGACCTTCTTCTAGTGTCTGCAACACCATCATTTCTCAGTTGAGCTCTAAATTTCCAATCAAAGATCTCGGCGATCTTCATTACTTTCTAGGTTTGGAAGTTCAGAAATCCACCTCAGGAGCCTTCATTCATCAATCCAAATACATATTGGATCTTCTCAAGCGTACCAAAATGGATGGGGCAAAGCCAGCCATGTGCCACTCCCCTTAGTTCTGTCAAGCTTGATCACACTGGTTCCTTGTTGTCGAATCCCGAGGACTATCGCTCTATTGTTGGCGCCCTTCAATATCTTACATGGACCCGGCCTGATTTATCCTTTGCGGTTAATCTGGTGTGTCAGTTCATGCACTCTCCCCGGGAGCCTCACTTTCAAGCCGTGAAACGCATCCTCCGATATCTAAAAGGGACACTTGGATTTGGCTTATGGTTTCCCAAAACCACATCTCCCCTACTTCTAAACGCCTACTCCGATGCTGACTGGGCAGGATGCTCGTGGGATAGACGTTCCACTGGTGGCTTTTGCATCTTTCTTGGTCCTTGT